AATGGTGATCAGACTGTTCCAGGAAAGTACGAAAGTCCCAAAAGGAATGAGTTTTAGTCAAGGACATGTTAGGTTCTAACTCTGTCAAACAATGGTCAAGATGCTCCTTTCTCGCATCCATGTCTAGGAATTAGATTATTGTAACTTGAGATTATTGAATTTAGTTGTACTAGTTATGTTTAATTTCACATTTGTGTTTATTTCTGTTCTTCAGAATACTACTTAACTTATGGAAATGAAAATGATGGTTAATATAGAAGATTCTCCCATAATAAAGAAAATGTGTTGTTAAAAACAGAAGTAATCAATATCATGAGAACTTAATTAAAGTCGATTTGGTGACTGAAATGTGGATTGTGGAATTAATGCAAACCCAGATTTCTAGAACATTATGCACTGGGTCTGGATCTGTTTACATTTTCGGTTCTCTGTTTCAATTATCGCTTCTGTTAACATTAAAGATGCTATTTGCAGTAATCAAGCAATTTTTGTGGAATGTGGATGTTTAGTTACTTCCTCCGTCCCATTTATATAATTTTCTTGTCCCAATTATAGTCTTATTTCTTTATTAAGAATGTTTTGTTTTGTTCGTTTACTAATATGCCCTTGTTTCTTTACTATTTCCAATAATAATTTACTACTAGTTATTGATAATTAAATGAGGGTAAACTAGGAAAGTTTTTGGCAAAAATTGTTTTTCCAATAACATTAAATAAGATTTCTTAATCCGTGTGAAAAACAAAACAAGCCTATATAAATGGGACGGAGGGAGTATTATTTATTCTATGTTATTTCATCTGAGGCTCTACACATCATAGCATCTATAGAATTTCTGTGGATGCAATTGATGATAAAATTTTCTTCTTGAGACATGCATTTGTTCTTCAGTATTTTCCATATATTATCTGATTATGTGTTGACAAAATTATGCAGGGTGGGATGCGGGTCTATATTTGCGATCATGACACATCACCTCCAGGTTTTATATTCAATAAATCTTCTTCTAGTAAATGCTGCATTTATTGTGATGGGTTGAAGTGGTCTTTGTTTTCTCGTGGAAAATAGAACGGACATTCATGCAAATCCCATTTGACTGAATTGCTGTTATCTGCATATGCTTATCACTTTCGGTTTAATTTTTTATACTGGGTCTGAAACGTGAATCTTGAGTTATCATTATTTTGTGATTGTTCTAGCGCCACAATATTTATTAGTTAATCCTTATATACATCTTGAGAAATCAGTTGCCGAAGGAATGGAGTGAGCCTTTACTACTCTGTGATTTGAAATAGTTGACTTCTGCTTCCTCTTTCTTTTTTGGTAATGTAGTCAAATTGTCTAAAATAAATTGTGAAAGTGCTTTAGTTCTGGTTCCGGATGTACTTGCAAGAAGCCAAGAAGGTTTATTTTCTAATTACCCTCTAGTATATATGCACTCAACTTGGTCAAGTTTATCTTGGAAATAATCGGTTTTAGGATTTCTTGTGTTTGGGGACTATGATCTGTTATTTACGAGTCTTACTTGTTTAAAGCTATGGTAATGTATCTGGGTTAATATAGTTGTAGACTAGTGAGTGTAGTTGAAGTCTTGGGGAAAATTCTACTCATGCGTCTCGATCCCAAACTCATGCACTCCAACACTTGGGGTGAGTGTCTCTTCTTTGCCATATTTTATATTGCCAATCTCTTAAAGCATGTATATCCCACCATGGGGAACTAATTTTGTCACTATATGTAGCCAACTCAGACAGCTTACACTGTGTTCAGTTAAATTGGTTTGTAAATTCGTGTTGCTGATTGTAATACCTTCCATTTGAAGTTTAATGACTGGGTACTTTCTTGGTTCTTTCATTAATTATCATCTTATTGCTGTTCATTCTCCTGTTTGCTGTATGTCACCATGATTTTGTTTTAACAGAGGATCAGTTTATCAAGACAAACCAAACCAATATATTGATTAGGTCTCTTACGCTTAAGAATCAGAAGAGCGATTCCTTTAAGAAAGATGCGAAGGGTAGTACTTCAAATCAAGTCTCCAAGAAAAGGTATTAGATTCATTTGATTGTGCTAGCAATGTCGAATAATTTTGCTCTTTATAGTTTACTCATCTGCAAATCTTTATCCTCATGTGCCCTCCAACCTTAACTTTACAGGGCTTCCGATAGAGCTTTGGAGAGCAAGGCTGCTGGTAAGAGGGCCATGTCCAGCACCCGGCTTGGTTCCAATCAAGGTGCGTTCATCTGACGTGGTTGTGTTGATCTTATATACGAAACACTTCTCTGTTTTAGAACTTTGGGAGCCTCTATGTTGCAATTTAGATTAGTTTCTTTCCTATACTACGTTGCACACTTGTGTATTATTACATGGTATTTCCTCCTATGATTGTATCATACTTGTACAAGATATTTCTAGTGTGTGCGATTTGTATATGGAGTTCTCATTGATTATTAAACACGTGACATGTAGAGAGATCACAATCGAGTGTGCCCGACAAAGATCTGCAAAGTTTGACTGTAGAGAAACTCCGTGCTCTTCTGAAGGAGAAAGGTCTTATGCTGAAAGGCAAAAAGGCAAGTCAATTGTTGTTTTTCTTGTAGCCACAGTGTCACGTTTCTCTTGGGGGAGTAAGGGCGAAATTCAAAATAAATAAATAAATAAATATTAGTATCTGTACTCTTGGCAATGACATTACAGATTTTCTTAGTACCACGATAGTTTAATCACCTTACTAAACACGTCATTAATGATTTTGTTCAAGCATTTGATGAGCACGCATAGGTTGATTCTAAAGTTTCGCAATTCTATATTCGCATTCTATTCACTAGTGTTTTCAATTCCACGAACAGGATGATTTGATTGCACGCTTGAGAGGTGCAAATGGCTAGAATGGTACCCGAGAAGTTGAAGAAGCTAATTGATCTTTAATACTCTGTAACATGTGGTTTTGGAAATGCATGTGTAACTTGGTGATAGTATGGTCTTGAATTAATTTAAAGCGTCGTCAAGCAGCACTGCATTTTGTATGTTGCATTAATAGGTCATTGTTTTAGAGTGAAAGGGGTACATGCATGTCTGGTTTTGTTGAAACTGTGAATCTGTGAATTTCACTTTTGCAGTTGGTTATGAAATTTTTGTTGGTTTAATTTGTGGCAATAACTATCTTCTGCCTTTCTTGTGTGTTAATGTATTGAATTTGGCCATCTATCTATTAGATTTTATGGCAACACGATTCGGTCTCACTTGATTTGTCCTAGTTTGATCATTTGTGCTTAAAATATTATGACATGTTTGGTAAAATGGACGTGAAGGCTATGGTTATTATTAAAAACGAGAAAAAAAAGGTTAAAATGTTGTTCGATTGTGTCTGGTATGGTGTATCAAACATCATTTCAGGTTTGTGGCTGCCTGTTTTTGGCTTAAATTTGGATTAGGTGTAAACCAAACAAGGAGTTGAACAAAATTGGAACCCTATTGTTTCTGAACAAAATGAGTAAGCCCCTATTTAGTGTAGCTAAAAGTCAGATTTTAGTAAATTTTGATAAAGTTAATGAAATATATAATTTAAAAGTTAATAAAAGTTGTTTTGTGAAATGTGTGGTGAAAATTAATTGTTGACATTGATTTAATTGTTTTTATCAAAATTTAAAGCTACATCAAATTGGGGCAAAATGAAGTTCGTGAAAATTGTAGCATTGGTTCTTAATCTATTGTTGAAGTAGTAGAGTGGTCTTCAATTTTTAAAAAGGAGTAAGTTGATTTGTAACGTTTGTTGAATCTATCAAAAATTTACTATGCCATCATGATGAGAATATAGGAAACCATTATCTTGTTGAACCATAAATTGAGTCGAAAACTTCATCAAGCTAACATAGGGATATGATCAGACATATATTATTATATCTCTAGTAATTATATCTTGTCTAGTCAACCGTAAACCATGAATCTAATTATAGTATTTGTTTTCTTAATTACCTTTTTGCCCTTCTAATTATTCTTACTCTGTTGACTTCAATTTTCTATAATGGTCATGTAAACAAATCATAAATATCGAAATTTCGCTGTCGTTAAATATTTAGCTCAGATTTATGATCGTTCAATAGAAAATACTTAAATAGTCATTCGACCCTTTTTTAGGTCGACAATTCTTGACAAATTTGTGTCTCTACTTCACTTGTTCTCAAGTTCTCAACTTTGAGATATTTGATAATATTGATATATTCATAGGGAATCAAATAACTATTAAACTCATAAAAAGATATGAACAATCATGTCCAAGATTTAGATAAAAATATCGGACAATCAAGTGAAATTTAATTTTTTTGTATGATCATACTATAGAATTAAATTCGACACATGATCCCCTCAATTCGCTACAAGAGTACTAGTGCTACCATTATAATATCTCTGTGATAAGATCAAATGACAATCTCGAATTGTAAATTAGTCAACACTACAACTTTCTAGTATAAAGTGCAAACCTTCATATATATGTTGTGAATAAATATGATCATATTATTAATCGCAATGTGCTTCTCCATTATTAGCCATTTTAATTTTTGGAATAGTATTTTTTTAAAGAATGTGTGGTTCGAGTAATATTATTTTAGTAGAAAATGTATGATGATAAGAAAAAGAAAAAAAATGAATTATAATTTTATCGAGGCCATATTAAGCACCCAATTATATTATGGTAAGTAATAATTGATGGAAAATGCTATGGGTACATAAGTGTACCCCATAGCACAACCCATAATTGATACTTCTGAGCAAGATGGACACCCATATGGGTACACTTATGTACCCATAGCACAATCTATAATTGATACTAATGTTTCCATGCTCGACATTGTGATCTCACCTTATCGTATGGGCACACAATTTACATGTATTTCTTCATTAAAATTCCGTCCTCGATCGGACCCTAACGTTGAACCCATCAGCCATATAGGCCGTCAATAGGGGAACAAAAATTGGTCGGTCTAAATTTTTCGACAGGAACTCAAACCGCCTTATGAGAACGGAAGCCACCACATATTTCATTTGAATAAAAGCCATTTCTTTCCCAAGACACTCTTGGACCAACTTGAAATACCGGAAACTTGAACTGGCTCATCGATTCACAGAGCTATAAATAAAATTGAAAAATTCTTTAAGCCTTTTTTCAGAGTCTAAATTCAGCTTTCTCTTGCATTTCCACACAGCAGAAATTGGCGTCACACCGCACATAGCAGAGAATTTGGCCAAATCACTAAACAAGATCACTTTTTAACCTCTATTTCATAATTTGATTACATGATGAATTGGTTGAACAATCAGTGTTTCTAACTTATCCAATAATCTCTTTCGGGTAGAATTAAACATATTCTCGCATACCATTTGACTATATTTCTATGACAAATGCAATATACAAGAATGTATGATATTTTGTAAATACTTAGAGATTCACGTAAAGCATAGCGTTATATTTCTATCCCTATGAACCCTATGATGATTTATACCTTGTTGAGTTTATTTTCATTATTTCGAATGCATAAATTAAACCATACAAATTCACACAATTATAGTACACTATAATCGTGGAGGCAAGAAAGTGTATATAAATCATTCAACATCCATTAAACGTGTTTAAATATCAAATTGCAAAATAGAAATTAAAAGATCACAAAGCGAGGTTCATCGTTTGTCTAGTACATAAAAAAGTCTAGCCTAACATGGATAAAATAAAAGAACAATTAATAAAAAGAAAACATCACCAAGATTTTGAATTAAATCTTGAAATCTTGAAGCTTGAAGTAAAAATCATTGTTCTCGCCTTTTTGTTAGCTCTCCAATGTATTTTTCTCTCTAAAGTGGTGTAACCCTCTTTTTTGGACGAGATTAGGGTTATATAGGTGCCCTAAATTCCTTTCCATAAGAGTTTGAATGAGAAAAAGAAATCAGAAAAATCGCGACAAAAACCTATCATGCGGCCGCATGGTTATTTTCCCTGCAGCCGCATGGAACAAATTTTTTGCTTTTTTTTTCCCTGCCACTATGCTTGCGGCCGCATGGTTAATTATACCATGCAGCTGCATGGTGCAATTAACTTTCACTCTTCTTCATTTTGGTCATCCAACTTCATTTTTCTCTTGTCTTGACC